CATAGTGAGTCTGAGGCTAGCCTTGGCTGAAGAAGACCCTCTCTCAAGAAACAAACAACAACAAAAACAGGGAGTAGGGGTGACAAAGAAAGATGCATGCAATATATTCAAAACTTCTATAAGAAATATTTTCATTCTTTGTTCAGCAGTTAAGAGCACTTACTGCTCTTCCAGAGGACCTGAGTTGGGTTCCCAGCATGTAAAGTGGTTCACAACTGCCTGTAACTTTAGCCCTAAGGGACCTGATACTCCCTGCTGGATTGGACATGCAACGGCAAACACACACATATAATATAATAAAAAATAAATCATTTTTAAAAAATGAAAAACTAAGTGCTTCCCCAAAGATATGGTACAGGGTAAAGGAAATGCAGCAAGGAGAAATTTATATTTTTATATAATTTTTCACGCAAGCATAAAAGTAACATGCCAGAATTACTTCACATCAAGTAAACTGACTGTACCTTCAAGGCACATGAAAATGCCTTTTCTCCCACATTAATGGACTTGGGATCGTCGTCGTCCAAATCTTCCCACATCCTCACGTCACCATCACTTCCACAAGTCACAATAAAACTGTGAAGGACATGCACATATTAAATGTCACCTATTTCAGAAATACCCTTTATGGAATGTTACTTCTATATATTTTGAAACAAAATCAAGACATTAGTGAATACGTTTCTCATTTTCAAATAAATAAACATCAATAAAAGACTTAACTTCTCATTCTATAAAATGAAGATGAGTTTAATGTTCTCTACAGATCCTCCTTGGCACAAAATTATTTCTTGTAATAATGTAAGAGAAAGTTGAGTACATAATCTTTGCAACAGCAGACTCTTTCTGCATCAATCACCATCATATCCCTAGTACCAAGAGCATATGACACACAGAAATTATAGCAAATATTTGTTGAATAAATATATGAGCTCAATTACCCAAAAATAATTATTAAAATAGCTGCATGCATCTGTTCTAGCCTGTTTTTCAACCGTCTCATTTCCCAAGTGCTTGTGTTCATTGTTTTAAATGTCCTATCTGGATACATTACAAAACTGCAAATTCACTGGGTAATGGTGGTCCACACCTTTAATCCTAGCACTCAGGAGGCAGAGGCAGAAGGAACTCTGTGAGTTCAAGGCCATCCTGGTCTACCGACTGAGTCCAGGATATTCAAGGCTATAGAGAAACCCTGTCTTGTAAAAACAAACAAACAAACAAACAAAAAACCCTGCAAACTAAATAAAAATAGTATAGGGCAAATGGCAAAAATTTTTTTTTTAATTTTTAAAAAAAGGAGGAAGGGAGGGAGAGAGGGAAGGAAGGAAAGAGTATGAATAAAAGAATGTTTAAAAGAAAAAAATGATTAATTTCTAAATGGGAAAATGAGAAGGGGTCATAAGAAAGTGTTTAGCCAGGCTATAATCTCAGTGTTTGGGAGGCAGAGTCGGTCTCAGCTGCGTAAGTCTGGGACCAGCCTGTGCTATATGAGACCCTGACTCTAGGACACCAGCTTCAAGGCATATGTGTGGACATATGTGGGATGGCAGTTATGGGGGTAACCACAGTGACGTTTGGATTCAAGGTCTATTCCACAAAAGGGAACCCATTCCTGGTACAGTAACCCTTTCAGAAGGTTACTCGGTACTATTGCTTAGCTAAATTGAATAACCTTAAACTGCCTTCCAAATATTTATGTGCATTACAAATAATGCTACTTTCAGCCTTTATTCCAGAAGCCTCTATTTCCAGTGAACAGTAGTGAACGCAGAGACTGATGAATGCACAAGGTGGATAAGTGGCTTCTCAGTGTTGAGCCCTAAACAAGGCATTTGCATCATGTCCTTTAACGCCCCCTAGTCCATCCGACTCCTCTGCTCTCCTAGTCTCATGCCCGCCCCTCTTCTTTCAAACAACTTTCTCGTCTTTCAAACGATTGCTTCCAGTTACTCAGAAAACAGAATCTATTGTTGACCACATTTACTCTCCATCCTACCTTCACTTAACACTTGTGAATTTGACCATGTCCCCATTTCTCACCTACTCAGGATATCCACTACCCTAAATTCCTCATTCTCTATTAAATCATCTCCATACACGTAAGTGTTGTAACCTCTCACCTGACCCCACATGCCATCCGATTCTTTGACAATGTCATCCTCACTAACTCCAATTCCTTCCCTTCTGTTCTCCTGACTCAAATACAACCATTCTTTCTACCCCACAAAACTTACACAAGATCATCAATTTCCTCCACGTTAATAAATCTACTATTCCTTTTCAATTTGGCCCACCAAGGACACTTGATACAGGTACTTCCTCCTCTTCTTTTTCTAGGCACCTCTAAGGTCTCCTTGGGCGTGGGGTGTCCCTCCTCTAAAGTAATATCTAAATTTTTAGGCCTAGCCCTTGAACCCTTTTCTCACCATATTCATTCCTCTCTAGGTGATTTCAACTAAATTAATGGCAATTGGTATTAATTATCTATACATATGCTGACAATTCCACTCATGTTCCCAGTCAAGACTTCAATCCTAACCCCTGACAGACATCAAATAAAGCTATGCATGTTTATTTCTATCCCTCGCTCACATTTTTCTGATTTCCAAATGTTTTCTTTACATTTCTCACTGAACATCTCAAAGAAATCCTACACTAACCTTGTCGAAAAGCAAACTCATAATCTGTACTCCCTGTTCCCCTCTAAACCACGCTCTTCTTCAAGTGTCAAGTATTTCCAGTACCTACAAACGACAGCATAATTTCCTCAACTATAACATCCAGATAGGCAGATACTATCAGACATCTTTCTATCCTCAACATCTGAATTATCCTATCGATTACCTGTTTTCTCCATGCTTATATCCACTCTAGTGTCCATTTCTGCCACACAACTAATCAAAGCATCTCCTACTAATTCATCCTCCACACATCTACCCTATGAATAGCTGTACTCTGTTTCAAACATTCAAGACCTTACCACTGTTAGGGCAAAAACAAGATTCTTATGTGTGTACATACAAGTGTGTATGTACGTTGTGTGTATGCCTGTGTTTACGTGCGTTTATATGTGTGTGGGTACAGGGCATGTGTGGGCACAAGCATGTGAATGCCACAGGTTAACGTCAGATGTTTTCTTCTGTAGCTCTCACATACTGAGGTAGGGTCTCTCTTGAACCCAGAACACATGAATTCAGCTAGTCTGGCTAGCTTGCTTGCTCCAGGAATGCCCTTCCTCCATTTCCTAACCACTGGTATCACAGGCCCATCTGAACACTGGTTGGCCATCTCCCCATCTCCTCCAAACAAGATTAAAGGCAGAAGGCCTTGCATAGGACACTCCCTGTTCACCTTCACAGACCCATCTCACGAAGCTCAACATCACTTCACCTTCTACTATGGATACTTTTTCATTTTTAAGCAAGCAGGGCCCCTGGCTCCACTGGTCTTTTGAACATACTCACACCGCCAACATCACCACCCTACCACCATGCCTCCAACTCTTTATATTTCTTTTTTCTTTCTTTTTCAGGAGGCTGGGGGATGTAGTATCACTAAGCTACATCCCTGGCCTATCTTTATTTCTTAATACCTACTCAATCTCCAGTTCTCATTTCAAGACACGCCCTTAGAGAAGCTTTCTGTCCTCTAACCCACACCTTCCCTGCCCATATCCTTATCACTGCACATATCACTTAGTAGTTCTAAGTGTATTTCTAAACATACATGTTTTGTAATTAATTTGTGCCTGATGCCTATTAACCCAAGAAGACCTTAACTTCAATAAAGGAAATGGTCATGGCTTGTTGTCCTTATCTCTGGCCCCCAGAAAGGTAGACTCACAAATATTTTTTATGGATCAATGAACAGAGAGGTGTGGTATTGGAGGTCACACAACTTAACAGTACCTGGCAGGAATGGCACTTAGAAAGATAAATGGGAAGCATGGGGGCTGGAGAGAAGGCTCAGGCCTGCAAGCATTTGCTGCTCTTTCAGAGGACCTGGGTTCGGTTCCCAGCACCCACATGGCAGCTCAAACATACTCAGCCACAAGCACACACACACACGCGCACACACACGCGCACACACACGCGCGCGCACACACACACACACACACACACAGAAACATAAAACAAAAAAAACATACCTTCTGTTTTTCTAAAGAGAAGGGAATAGCCCTAGTAAAATAACAGTTTAGGAATGAAACAGAACAAAGTCGGTTCTAAGTCAGCAAGTTAAAAAGAAAAGGGAAGGAAAGAGAACAAAGAGAAACAGCATTACTAAAGCCAAAGGAGGCTACCATTCCCGACGGGCTGAGGGATTTGACAAGCAGTATGCAGCGAGCGAGCTCATAAAATGAACATGACACCGAATGAAACTGTGCGTGGCGAGAAGACGCTCCTCTGGGAACAGGATTTTAACTTCCCACGACAGAGGAAAGCAAACAAGTCTCAGGAAACAGACGTTCCTGTTTATCCCTCCCTCCCTCCCTCCCTCCGCATCGGTCATCTTCGGCTGACTGTACGTGCAGTAAATGACCGCTGACATTCACACCGGAGCAGTTCTTTTTCATTTCCAAAGACGCTTACCTTCCAGAATCATCAAAACAGACGTCGGTGTGTCCTTCCGTATGTCCATACCTCATGGGCTTCTGTGTGGCCGGCATCTTTCCCTTTGCCTACCTGAACCGGGTTGTATGAACTAGTATTTTCAGGAGGAAGGTCGGTCCTCTGCGCGCTACGCAGTCCTGTTCCCCTCACCCGAGGAGCAACAGCACGTCACGGCCGGACGGGGAGCTGACAAGCTTCACCTCTGCAGGCTCAGGCAAAGCGAACAAGGAGCAGGAAGGGTGCGACAGCCTCCCGGGCGAGGGAAGAGCAGTTCGCACGGAGCGGCTTCCCGCGCTCCGGCGCGCTGGCCCTGTGCGCATGCGCGCGCCCGCCCCCGCCGCCGCCCCGCGCAGGTCCCGACCGCGGTCGCCGGGTGTTGACGTCAGCGGCGCGCCGCCGCGAAGCCCCGAGCCGGCGGCTGGGGCGGCTCTGAAAGAAAAGGTGGGAGCGGAACCCGGAAGTGGTGGCGGTCCCTGGAGAGCAGGCGGAGACCGCGGCAAGTCTGACACTGGACTGACTGACTGAGCGGGGGCGGGGGAGGCGCTGGCAGAGAGGCATCCGCCTGGTGGGAGCTACACGAGGAGCGGGAGTGGCCGGGCCTCCCTTCCGCACTTGAGCGAGCGAGCGCCGAGTGATGGCGACGACGGTGATGGCGGCAGTGGCTCGGACAGCCCCGGTTAAGTCGCGCTCAGAGAGGTGAGAGGGGGAAGGGTGGCCGTGAGGGGCTGGGGTTTTGCGCCTACCCTTCCAGGCTCTCCTCCCAGGCAACCATATTGGGCTCCTTGAACCGATCGAGCTCCTCGGGACAGGGTTAGAGACAGACCTTGTCAAGCCTTTATTCTTGACCATCCTCCTTCGTGCCCCTCACGTTGTCGTTTCTGTAGTGATAAAGGATGGATTCATTCTGGGTTCTTGCAACTCTAGCTAAATGATGCTTGAGAGAGTTAACTCGGGTTTCCTGTTTGGATCCCACCCAAAGTTTACTAAAGTGCGTTTAGATCGGAAAGAAGAGTTCTAATTTATATTGTTGAACGCTTCCTCTCATCCTTGCAACCCATAACACATCCTGTGTTAAGTAAGGTCTTGGCCCGTCAGGGTTATGCTTTTCTTGGTTCTTCACGTTCTCCATATTAGTAAATTGGTCTCTGTTTAAAAAGTATGATTTTTTTTCCTTAGTGTTTATCTTTTGGAAATTCTCAGTTTTTTGTGGTACCCACCATCCGGTTTCAGTCACTTATTTTTATCACCATTTTTCCGTTGTAGAGGTATATTTTTCCCTGTCCTTCAGTCTCGATTCATTCTAAAAAGTTTTAAGCTTAGTTACTTAAACCGTGGTATTCTTGCTCTAGTGGCATTTTGTAAGAACCAGGGTTCCAAATAGAGGTGTATATGAGTGAAAAGAAAGAGCAGTTGGCTCAAAAAGAACCTGAGATTCTTCTAAAATACCCAATTGTTAACTTTCCACAGGAATGAAGGTACCTGAGATGATGGTTTCTGAGTAACTTAGTTTTATTTTGAAATTATTCAGTTTTTAGATGGACCAATTTATAATACTTTTCCCCAGGTAACTGGGCAATAAAAATTATTAGGTACAGGGTGAGGTTCAAGTTGAGCTGATATTTATTTATATATCGAACATATCACTGTGGGATCTCATAGTAATGCTTTTCAGAGCTCAACATTCAGAAACCTGCAAAGAGGAACAAGAGTTATAGTTGTAAATACTTTAGACATAGTATCTGTACTACCACCTGATTTTAAAACTATGAACAATGTCAGCATTCCTGCCCATTCTCTCTGCCCTAGCAATCAAGCCTTATTCACAGGTTAAGATAATATTTCCTTTGCTGATTTCATGGGTGTGGATAAGCTTTAGCCTGAGGATTAAACAGTTCTAGTTTTAATTTTAACTCTAACCTATTGTATGACCTTGAGTGTGAGTGTGTCTTTAGTTTCCTGAATGTCAGATTTCTCACCCCCAAAGTGGAAATGATACTTATGTCCCGATTCTGATATGGGTACCAAAGTTTCCCAGATGAATTATTACCAGTGCATATCCCATTTGAGTGCGTATCTGAATGAACTCACTGAAAACAATGCCAGAATTGGAGATTCAATTACACTGAAGGTTAGTTGCCCTACTGTGACCACTTTAATATTCTGAGCTTCACAAATAGTGTTGATCTCAAGGGCAATAGGTTGAGAAAACATAGATATATTAGCATTCTATCAAAGGTAATATTATCTATATAAATAATGTCATATAAGCCTACACAGTTATCCAAGAAACTATAACAGTATTTCCTACAGCAGAGTTTTTTTAAGATTTTATTTTTAATTATAAAAAATGTGGGGGGAAGTGTGTGTGTGTGTGAGAGAGAGAGAGAGAGAGAGAGAGGGGGAGGGAGGGAGGGAGGGAGAAAAGGGGGAGGGAGAGAGAAGGGGGGGAGGGTGCCTACAGAGGCCAGAAGAGGGCATCAAATCCCCTGGAGAGTTACAGGCAATTGTGAACTATTGTGAACTGCAAGATACAGGTTCTGGGAACTGAATTTTGGGTCCTTTGCAAGCACAGCAAGTATTCATAACTACTGAACCATCTCTCCAGTCCGGCCCCTAAAATTTCTTTTTAATAGAATATATACTTGATGTAAAAACCATCGTTATAGCCAGGCAGTGGTGGCCCATCCCTTTAATCCCAACAATCAGGAGGCAGAGACAGGCAGATCTCTGTGAGTTCCAGGACAGGCTCCAAAGCTACAGAGAAAACCCTATCATTACTATGGAAGATGAGGCTGGAAGAGAGGGTACCAATAACTGAGGAGAACTAAATATTGAAAAAAATATTTTTTAATCTCTCCAAATGTATTATGAATGAATGTTAGTAACATTTATCTGGGAGTAAATAAGACTTGTAGAAACCCAGTAAAATACAACAGAGAATATCATAAAAGTGCCTCTGCTCCCAGCCGCCCAGTTCCGCTGCAGGAAACAGCAGGCATTTGACTCTTGTATTGCCTTGGCAGCACTAGGTTGACTTTTATCAGAGCAAGACGGATAGTATCAATTTTAATATCATTTTATTCCTTGAGAATTTCACACATCGTCTTTTGATCATATTCACCACCATTTCACTGTCCCCCAATTCCTCCAAGATCCACTCCTACCTCCCCACCCTCTTTCAGCCTGTTGTCCTCTACCCCTGTAATAACTCCCGTTGTCTAATTGGTGTTGCCCATATACTTAGGAGTATAGGGCCAGCCACTGGAACATGGTTGCCACACCCCTAAAGAAACCTGACTCTTACTCCCCTAGAAGCCATCAACCATCAGTAGCTTGTCAGTTCAGAGTGGGGTCTCATAAGTACCTCCCCACTCCATACTAGAATGTTAACTGGCTTGGTCTTGTGCAGGCAGCCACAGCCTCTGTGAATTTATTAATTCAGTGGTCCTATCATGTCCAGAAGACACTGCCTCACCCCAGTTCTCCATGACCTCTGGCTCTTAAAATCTCTCTTCATCTTCCACAGTGGTCCCTTAGTTTTGGGGGTGTGTGATATGGATGTCCCATTTGTGGCTGAATGCATTAACACTTATTCTCTGTACTTTGATCAATCGGGAATTTCTATATTAACCACCATTCACTATACAAAGAAACTTCTCTGATAAGGCCTGAGAAATGTGCTAATCTATTGTAATCTATTGGTACAGATATAAGAATTTAGAAGGCAGTTTGATTCTATGCCCGTTTAACAGAATAATGACAGTAGTTCACTCCTGGGACCTTTAAGCTCCCTGACCATATTCAGTGGTTCTGATGTTGTTTTGTTGAATCAGTCTCACTCTGTGGCTCTGGCTGGCCACTAGGTAGACCAGGCTGGCCTTAAACTCACAGAGAACAATGTCCCTGCTTCCCAGATGCTAGGATTAAAGGCATGCTCCACCATACCTGGCAATACTCAATGTTTATAGATAGGAAAACTAAAACTCAGAAATGCTCTGATTCACCAATGTTTATAGATAGGAAAACTAAAACTCAGAAATGCTCTGATTCTCCCGGTGTCAGACTCCAGTTCTTTTACTCTCAGACAGGCTACCATACTCCCTCTAAATCAAGCTGTTTTCATAAAAATCAGAATTTAATTATGACAGGTCTTGGTCTCAGACTTGCTGTGTAGTCCAAGCTGACCTCAAGCTGGAGATTCTATTTCACACCTCCTAAGTCCTGGAATTAGAGGTTTGTGCTACCACACATGGCTTTTAAAATTAAAACATTAAAAAATTGAAATCTAGATTCACATTCTACTAGTATTTGGGTGAAGTGTGTTACTTACCTTAAATGTAATCATATATAATTATTATAAAGTAGTGAAAAGAATGATCTGTAGTTTTTGTTGTTTATTAAAAAAAGAAAAGAAAAGAAAAGAAAAAAGACCTGGCCTGGTGGCTCACACCTTTACAAAGCTTCAGCACTCAGGAGGCAGACACAGGTGGCTATCTTTGAGTTTGAGGCCAGCCTGGTCTACATAGTGAGTTTTAGGACAACCAGGGCTATGTAGAGGGACCTGCTACTCCTCCCATGCCCACTCCAAAAAAAACCCCTCTTGCCTATTATTTCTGTTTAAATTTTTGTTAAGTTAGCTTGTAAGGAGCTATAAATGTGTCGGGGAAGGGGGTGTGTGCTAGAGAGATGGCTCAGAGGTTAAGAATGTTGGTTGCTCTATTGTCCAGGTCTAGAGGACCTGGGTTCAATTCCTAGGGACAAGATATGCAAGCAAAATACCCATACACATAAAATAAAATGAAATATCTTTAAAAGAAGCTATAAAAATTGTATCACTAAAAGTTTATTTTCACTCAGTATTTTTAAGGAATCTAAGCATTTAAAGCTTTGAGGCTGGAGAGATGGCTCAGCAGCTAAGAGCAGTTGCTGTTCTTTTAGAAGACCTGGGTTCAAGTCCCAACATGCATCTGATGGCTCACAATTTCTTTAACTTCAGTTCCAGAGGATCTGAAACCCTCTTCTGGCTTCTGAGGGTACCTCCACACAGGTGGTGCACATACCTGTACTCAGTCACAGAAGAAACAGCTTGTTTAAAGGAGCACATTTAACTAGTGAGTAATGTGCTTTATGCTTTCTGGTATTTTAGAAATACTGGAGCTTTTTCAATTTCAGAGTTTTTGGGTTTTTGTTTTGTTTTGTTTTGTTGAGTTGGGCTCTGTGTAGCTCAGCTGACCTTGAACTCATGATATTCTGGCATCGACCTCCCAAGTGCTAGGATTTCAAGCATGTACCACCATGCCTAGTATATGTTCAGATTTCCACGATATGTTGGTGTGCAGTTTCTAGCCTTAAATACATAGCCGTTGGTGCCTCTTCTTCCTATTTTTACCACTTTTTCACCTCTTGTTTTTAGAAAAGTTCTTGGTGATACTTATTTTTGTTAATCTCATTGAATGTTGCTTTCATACATTTTAATTACCACTCTGTAAAAATGTGTCCCGATTTACAAATGAGAAAATCAAGTTTAATAAGAGTTATACTTTTGGCTAGGTTTTTTTTTTTTTTTTCGTTTTTCGAGACAGGGTTTCTCTGTGTAGCTTTGCGCCTTTCCTGGGACTCACTTGGTAGCCCAGGCTGGCCTCGAACTCACAGAGATCCACCTGCTTCTGCCTCCCGAGTGCTGGGATTAAAGGCGT